GTTCACAAATGGCTCGCGGGCCGCGAGTTTGAGACCCCTATATTAGATGTTTATTTATTAATATTCACGATTATCTCATTTTTTTATAAAAAGAATGTAAATATTTATACTTTCCCACATCATTTTCGATGTATGCAGAATGTATGCGGGAACGAATTTCAAAATATCTTAATATTTCAGTTTCGGCTTCGGTTTCTGCAAAAATTCATTTTTAACTTTCGGCTTTTTTTCTGTTTCGGCCAAAATTCATTTTTAAACTTTCGGCCTTTTTTCGGTTTTGGCCGAAAGTCATTTTAAAATTTCGGCCTATTTTCGGCTTCGGCCGAAATCAGAAAATCACTTTCGGTCTTTCTCTAAAGCCCAAGACCTAATTTTATGATGCCTTCTAACTAATTGAATCTTTCTCATTGGTGGCATCAGTATATTTTGACCTCACATCTTTGAATAATTTATTTTCCTTTTGTGTTAGCCGTTCAGTAATCATTCAATGTTTCCACCCAGTGAGTAATTTCCAACATCGTCTGTCAGTTTGTTGTTTATAGTTACCCAATAATAATTTGAACTTTATCTCTCACAGGACTACAAGGACATCATGAGTAAGACGAAGTTTAAAAAGTTTGCACCACCTTTGGAAATATCAGAGCACGAGTGAGTAACGGAGTGTATGCTGTCATTGATGGTTACTGTAGAAACTGGTATTAAAGAATGACGGTTGCCCAAGAAACTGGTATTAAGGAATACCAATAGAACTCTTATTTTAAAAAATGACTTTACTTTAAATGTTCATAATAAAGTCCAGTTTAAAATAAAATATAACAGGGAAATAATTTGGATGGTCGGGCTATGAGCAGTTCATAGGAAATTTTTATAATTTTTTCCAGGTACATTGAATAATGAAATTGTTCTTGTAGATTGCAGAGGTCATAGTCAACCATATGCTTTACAAGATTTGAATCTTTTACTAGTAGCTTTACATATTATTTAAAAAAATATTTACTTACCCAAATTTTTTAAATTCTACTTGAAGTGAAATAAAATTTTAATATCATGTTTTATAAATTTTGCTTTCAACTACAATTTTCTTATTCTCACGCTTCCGTCATTGTTTACCACATAACATAAAATAAAGATACTGGAAGTAGATGGGGCCACCATTCAATGGTAGAGTAGCCAAACAACTAACACAGTAGGGTTATTTCAAAGGAGATTAATGATGAAAGAAGTGTAAAAAAAGAATTGTTTAGTAATGTGAATGTGACAAGTTTGGTTTTGTTTATTTCAGCATCATCTTTTGGATTGGTGACCTTAACTATCGCATTGACTTAAACATTGAGGAAGTCAAAAAGTGCATCAGAAAGTCAGAGTATAAAAGTTTGATCAAACAGGACCAGGTAAATTATACCATGACGTCAGTTTTTTTTTTAAAATCCTTTTAAGATATTTTTTTTTACTGTGTGGCATAAATGGTATTGAAATAAAATCAAGATTAGAAGAATATTTAAATGAATGGCTCTCATTTATATCGGTTGAAATATTTCATTTTGAGAAATATTAAAAATCTTTTTCCAACCCCCCAAAAATTGCTGCCAAATTTTGTATTATGAAAAGCTAATTCCTGGTACCTTTATTTCTTTGGCTCCAGCTGTATCGTCAGTTGAAAGCAAACTCTGAGGTTTTTAAAGGGTTTGAGGAAGGTCTGCCGAACTTTGACCCCACTTACAAGTTTGATGCAGGGACAGACAACTATGACACAAGGTAAACCTTGCTTTGTCAGTTTTATCAAGCTCAAGGGAGTCAACCATTATTAGCTGTCCATCAACCTTTGAAATACAGAGTAGTCTTGTAAATGGAAAATCCATCTCTTGGGCATATGGACTCTGGATGTTTGTGCCACTCACACTATAACAATGTATATATAACCTCACTTGAATCTGACTTGATTATTTGACACTTTATCTATGACTAATGGGGATAATGACAACTTAACAGTGACTAATGTGTATAATGACAAACGAAACCATCAGTTTTAGCCCACAGTATGTGATCAGAGTTGAGTTAAATTCTGCTATAGTTGACATCTGATCATATTTCACAGTGTTTATCCGTGTATTTAAAGCTTGAAATTGCTCACGTTTATTCAAGGACTGAGACTCGGCACCATCCATTTCATTAATGTAATTTGTAGATAATGTCATAAATATTGAGAGTCACTGGCATGTTTCATGACCTTTATGCAAAAAATAAATTTTCTGTTTGATGTCCTCATTATAAATTAACTTAGCTAATGAAATGGGCTAAATTGTGTTATATTGTTAAGCTTAAGTAACAGAGCTAATGAAATGAGCTAAATTATGTTATATTGCTTAACTTGAGTAACAGAGCTAATTAAATGGGCTAAATTGTATTATTTTGTGTAGCTAAAGTAAGGTTTCCTTTGTGTATTATACTACATGTAATCTGGTAAATATGTTTTGATGTGTCTATTTATACTATGTGTATTGTGCCATGTGTATTTTGATGTGTCTGATACACAATGTGTATTCATGATTTATTTCATAATACATATTTAATGGATAACTTAAAAGGCTACTCTCCCTTTATTTGAACAGAGTGCCGTGTCCATCTGGTGAAACTTTGGACAAACCCAAAAGAGTCACCTGTGTTTGTCTGTGTAAAAGGCATTTGTTTTCAGTTGTGGTTTAATTGTATCTTGGTTTTCTCTCCTTGATGTTTCTAGAGTGACTCCTTGGCATAAGTTATGATTATGAACATTTGTATTTGAACATTTGTCAAACTGTTCCTGTGCCTTTTTATCCTATTCACTTTGCATATTTCTAGTTGTCACATTTTAGGCATATGCCCTACTCCTCTTCAATGAACTTAATAAAAAAAATATGGATCATGTTAATAATGTGAATTAGTTTTTGTATGGTGGAATTTTTTTAACGGAATTTTTCAACTATTTAAAAAAAAAAGTCACAATTTTATGATGTGAGCTCTGCTTTGAAATAAAATTTATTTTATGTGTATAACTAAGGGGGGTGTCTTGTGAAAATCTAAATTTTGTTTAAACAATTAAATAAGCTTATTTTAGAAAAATAAAATTAAAATTAACAGTGTCTTCTTATCAACCATTTTTATTTTAAAAAATTTTTTTTAAATTCCTGAATTGATTTTTTTCACTGAACATAGAAAGTAATTTAGAAAACTTTTTTTATATTGTATTACTTTTGTTCTAGTGAGAAAAGCCGAGTCCCTGCCTGGTGTGATCGTATTTTGTGGCGAGGTCCTGGAGTCAAGCAGCTCCGATACGATTCACATCCACAACTGAAAGTGTCTGACCACAAGCCTGTCAGCTCACTGTTTGAAATAGGGGTCAGTGCTCAAAATGACACACATTCCATCTTGTTGTGCACACGCTATTTGATAGATGTAGTAGGGGATAGCGAAATGGACACTTCTCTTATATTTTTGCCTGCTATTAATTCAATTTTTATTTAAATAAATTAAAATTTTCCTTGGATGTAGTTAAATATATGTGATTAATATGGTATGAGTTAAATTAAGCTATATGATTCCAATTTTTAGATATAGCAGGGGTTGGCTGTCACATAGTTTTGGGTAGGTTGTCACATAGTGTTGGGTAGGTTGTCACATAGTGTTGAGTAGGTTGTCACATAGTGTTGAGTAGGTTGTCACATAGTGCTGGGTAGGTTGTCACATAGTGCTGGGTAGGTTGTCACATAGTGTTGAGTAGGTTATCACACAGTTTTGGGTAGGTTGTCACATAGTGTTGGGTAGGTTATCACATAGTGTTGGGTAGGTTGTCACATAGTGTTGGGTAGGTTGTCACATAGTCTTCTTCTTCTTCTATATCTTAAGGGCCCAAGATCAATTTATTGATCATTTTGGCTCCTATGCATGTAGATGGGATTTGCAATGTTTCTGTTACTGGTGGTGATGAGGAAATTATTCACTAGGGGTTTGAAGGCTTGAGGCAATAGACACAAATGTGTCTAGTGTTGTCGCCTCAACTGTTCCTTTTGAAAGATGGTTCCAGTCCCTGATTGTCTTGGGCAGGAATGAGCTGCTCCTATACTGGCTTCTTGCTGGTATGAGCCTGAATTGCCTGTCATGGCCTCGTCGCTGTCTATGGGGGAGAGGGACGAGTTTCTGTTTAATACTGGAACAGTCTTTGGTAGGTTGTCACATAGTGGTGGGTAGGTTGTCACATAGTGTTGGGTAGGTTGTCACATCATGTTTTATTTATTTACCGCTTGTTTATAAATGTGTATTTAAACAAAATAAAGTAATTGGTAATCTGCATTGCTTAGATCTGAAATATGTTATGTAAACTGTAATTTCTTGACTAATTTTAGACTAAAGAAATAAAGATAACAAATTATTTATTAATATTATTTTATTTTATTAAATTAAGTATTCTAAAAGTGTGTAAATAGCATTGAGCTATTCCACTAAGAAGAATTTCAAATCTTACATTTAAAAAAAGTTAAGGCATTTTAAACTTTTAGACTACTAGACTACAGCATTCGAATTTAGTCAATATTAATATTATAATGTCCACTAAAAGTTATTGTTACCATTGTGCTATAGTGACCACCGAGAGTCATTGCCATCAAGTCTCAGAGTTATTGTAATCATGTTGTGTTACTATCAATAGGTCCGTGTTATGTTATGATCAATAGGTCCAGGTTATGTTACTATCTATAGGTCCGTGTTATGCTACTATCAATAGGTCCGTGTTATGTTACTATCTATAGGTCCGTGTTATGTTATGATCAATAGGTCCAGGTTATGTTACTATCTATCGGTCCGTGTTATGTTACTATCAATAGGTCCGTGTTATGTTACTATCTATAGGTCCGTGTTATGTTACTATCAATAGGTCCGTGTTATTGATGAGAAGCGATACAAGAGAGTGTATGAAGACATCATGAAAAAATTGGATCGTCTTGAAAATGACTATTTACCACAAATCAAGATAGATAATACTGATGTAAGTACAAGATAGATTATAATGATTTGAGCTCACTAAACTAACCACTAGCGAAACCTACATTCAGTTTTCTTTATTTTTAAGGAACTGTAGAAACAATTTAATATTTTTAAGATTTTGATATAGTTTAAAATACAACTGGTAAAATGTTTGAAATTGAAGACTTAGTTAAAGTCGAACAAGTTATCACAAGTGTACTGTATAAGTCGGAATATTCCGTCATTAAAAGTTGAAGTGAAAAACTTCAAAAATTTTAATATTTTCCACATGCAGCTCATTTTCAAGGATGTGAAGTTCATAGAACCACAGATAAAGGTTGTGACTGTAGCAAACATAGGTCAGGTGAGTCTGAGGTTATTTCAATTACCTCTACATAGGCCAGGTGAGTCTGAGGTTATTTCAATTACCTCTACATAGGCCAGGTGAGTCTGAGGTTATTTCAATTACCTCTACATAGGCCAGGTGAGTCTGAGGTTATTTCAATTACCTCTACATAGGTCAGGTGAGTCTGAGGTTATTTCAATTATCTCTACATAGGTCAGGTGAGTCTGAGGTTATTTCAATTACCTCTACATAGGCCAGGTGAGTCTGAGGTTATTTCAATTACCTCTACATAGGCCAGGTGTGTCTGAGGTTATTTCAATTACCTCTACATAGGCCAGGTGAGTCTGAGGTTATTTCAATAACTTTAGCTCTTAGTTGGTTTTGGTCCTTTATTTACATATTTTGTGTTTTTTTAATAATGCATAAAGCCATGGAAAGCTAACAGGTTTTGTCTCAGTAAATTTTGAACTGTTAACAATAACCTCACTTTTTTAATTGGCAATTTATTAGGATTGCCCTCTATATTATTCCTATTATAACAATTATTTGGATTAAATTTTCATGTTATTCTTCAGATTCCAGTTGAGTTTGAATTTATCAATAAGCTGGATGACCCAACTTACTGCAAACCTTGGTTAAAAGTCACTCCATGCAAGTCTGTCATCTTATCTGGTAAGAACTCTGTCCCTCACAAAGTCTGTCATTTTATCTGGTAAGAACTCTGTCTCTCACAAGTCTGTCATCTTATCTGGTAGGAACTCTTGTCTCTCACAAACTTGTGAGTGAACGCAAACCTAATTGTTGACATCCAATGGTATAAATGTGAACCATACAATGTACAGATCTCACACCAGTAGCAGATCCCTCACACTTTTCTTTAGCTCTGCAGGATTCTTAGTCTTGGACTTGGGAGATTTTGTTCCACAATGACTTCACTAATTTTTAATATAACACCCCATTCTAGGCATGCAACTTGGCAATATATCTGTCTATATTACGCTCTCTGAATTTTTGACATCCAACACCATGTACATGACCCACACATTGTGCTCATTCCACACCATAAACATGACCCACACATTTTACATGTACCACACCCTGTACAGGAATTCCAATGCCATGTATATGACCCACACATTGTATTTATCAAACATATTGTTCAATATAATGCAAAGCTATTCTTTGTATTGATTACAACATCTGTTCAATAATTAATTTATTAACACTGACACATAGTTTCTTTACAATATTCACTTGCACTCTTTGCGGTGATTCAATGATCGTTATTTGTTGACCGGCAGGTATTTGTTGTGAAATTCAGATAGAGGTTTATGTCGATAAGATGACCGCGGCCAAGCTCAACTCTGGTGAAGAGAAACTTGAGGACATTTTAGTTCTGCACTTGTCTGGTGGGAAGGATTCCTTTGTATCCTTGATCTAAGTTTCATGTTGAGTGGTCACCAGCCTCCCAGCACCAAGTGGGGGATGCCAAGAGTTAATTAATGAAAATTAATTTATTTAACAGTTAAACCACTCTTTACATTCAGAACAAACATTCTTAAAGACCCCTCTTTCCCCTTTAGATTGTACTTATAAATGTATGGTCTTAAAGCACCATCAACAGCTCTTTACATTCAGAACAAACATACTTAAAATGTATTTTAAAATGTTTCAATAAAAAACTTCATGACATCAGCTCTGGTTTCACTATAGTTTGGAATGGATTGTCTTGCATTAAGTTAAGAAACATTTGGTTGCATTCAATGATTATCATGTCCATTCATAATTCAATGCACTGAGATATTTGTAGATGTAAAGTAATATCTTCAAAATAAAATTGTTGTCAGAGCCATCAAGTCAAAAAATAAATTGTTGTGTTTGGGACATGGAAAATGTTTGATTCTTAACCCTGACAAGATAACCGTGGGAGGGAATTATCTAATCAGCACATTTGGATCCTCTATAGAAGCACTTGTCCAGTTGCATGGTCCCATCCGGGAAGTGCCAGTAGCAGAGTTAATACAGATAGTAAGTACACACATTGGGGTACAGAGTCTTGTCAACTTTATGCAGCAGTAATGTAAACAAGTTTTGAAACAGCTGTTCTTCCAACATAAAAAATATATTTAATGTCTTGTGGCTTGTGAGCTTTGAAGTCAGAATAGTTTTAGTGGATTTGTGATTGTGTTGTATGAGAAAATGTATTTTTTTTAAATATTATTCTATTCTCAGACTTAGAAGAAAAAAAATTTGTATGTGGATAAATATATTCAAAATTTTTGGATCCATGCCACTTGAAATGTGTTAACTGAATTTATGTTATAGTAAGGCGGGTTATAGCGTGGTTCCACTGTATTTTGTTGACTCAGTTGAAATATCTAATGTTATGACATTCTTCAATCTTTTTCTGTAAATGAACTTTACAGCACCGTCTGTTGGCTGCATCGTTGCTGCTAAGGGTGTACATTTTAAAAAAATATTTTGTTTGCAAGATAGCAATTCTTACATCCATTTAATTTGTATTTCCTACCAATATAATTGATATCCTGTGCCCTACAGTCAAAACTATACTTCCAAGCTTTAAAAACAACTTAACAGATCCTCCATGGTCTAGACCCGGGCAATTGTTTCTAATAAAACCAATAAAGTTGATCACGTTTTTGACGGCACTAAATGTCATTGACAGGAACAACCTGGCAGTTTGAGTCTAGTTGATATAACACAAGATGGCGGCAGGCTGTACATGGTGCCAAAGGAAATATGGAAAATGGTGGATTTTCTGCACAAGCATGGCTTGGACAAGGTCTGTGCTTTAACAAAAAAATAACTTCATAAAAATTAGCCAGTATTTATACATTTAAAAGGTTTTTTAATTATATTTAAATGATATTTTGCACTCCATGCCCCCCCCCCCCCAATTGCCTTTATGACGCTGTCACAGTTTTAAGTTTTGGTTTGCTCGAGAGATTTTAAAGTAAAGTTTTATTTAAATAATATATTCTTTTTTTTTTCTCCAAGACTTTTAAGTGCATCTCTATGTTGGTCTGCTCTTTTAAGGCCAACTGCACCCGCAATCAAATGTTTAATGCTATCCAGTTTCAATATGTCTCTGTTTGCTAATGTTTGAACCGTGTGTCTGATGTCATCACTCTGTTTGCTAATGTTTGAATGTGCATCTGATGTCATCACTCTGTTTGCTAATGTTTGAATGGGTGTCTGATGTCGTCACTCTGTCTGTTTTACAGGAGGAGCTTTTCCAACAGCCGGGAAGAAACTCTGAGATTCAAATCATCAGAGACTGTCTGGATACAGGGAAACCAGAGAACATTTGTATCCTTCTCAGAAAAATACAATATTGATTTTCAATCTGACTTGGTCAAAATAATACTGGTGTACTCTAACTAGATCAGTGTAGCATTGGTGTACTCTAACTCGATCAGTGTAAAATTGGTGTACTCTATCTAGATTAGTATAATGCTTGTTTAATCTAACAAAGTATAATATAAAACTTGTCTATTCTAGCATACTTCTAGATGTTTGAAATATTTGAATGATTGATCAAAGGATAAACAGTAAGAGGTGTGGAAGAAACACACACTGTAACCCATCTGGGGCGTTTCATTTGTTAAACCATTTTGTTAAAAAAAGTTTGGATATTCAGGGGTTTTTTGGTCAAAGGTTAACGCTTGTAAAGGCCAATTTTAATTATTAAGCTCAATCAAATATGTGAGAAATCTCTTTAACACCGGACCAGCTGACAGCTTGAGTGTCCACTCAGTGGCAGAGTCCTTGTTGCTGTTTCTCGAATGCCTCGCTCAACCTGTTATTCCATTTGAGTTTTACTCCAGGTGTCTTTCAACGTCCAACAACCTCCTGCTCAGTAAACAGGTAACAATTACTTTTTTTGTTCAAGTACATCAGCAGTTTAGTCAATCATAAGGCATTTTATTTCCCTGTGTCAGATCAGATTTTTTTAAAAATTGTCCGCACATCACCTTCATCCTAGTGACTCCCTCCCTGTTCTTAAATTTAATAACACCTGATGACTAACTCAAAATAATTTCCCCACTCAGTACTTACAGTGTGTGACTTGGTTAATTATGAGTGGTTAATTGTAACATTCCAATATTTTTTTAGAAATGTTTATGTTACAAATGATCTGTTTCTTTCCATTGAAACTTTGACCTAGTTTTCTGTAACTTTGACCTGCAGCTCGTGTCTGGTCTCCCAGACTGCCATAAAAATACGTTCCTCTACATCTGTGCATTCCTACGTGAGCTGCTTTTATATGCAGACAAGAATGGTCTGGAAATCAAGTTTTTGGGTATGATTCTGTCTAGGGGTGTGCCGGATCCGTTTTTTCCAACCGGATCCGGATCCGGATTTTCTTATGCGAAATCCGCCGGATCCGGATTCCGGTTTCTCCCGGATTCCGGATTTTGGTACTATTGGTAGATACTTCGGTAAGTCAAGGTGGACTACTACTTTTTGTGTATGGGAATTCGCAATCGGCGCCAAAAAATCCGAGTTTTTAATTTTCCGATGTGTGTGTCTATTTATTATTAAATTAGTACTTTCGATATATATTTGAGTTCCGTTCCATTTGGATAAGTGTCTTACGAGAGACGCCATGTTTCTACGCGTTCGCAGCAGGTCATGCAGCTCGCTCAACCTAATTTCGCCATGGGGTTGGCCACGCCCCCCTTTTTAATGGCGGAAGTTGACGATACTTAGGAAATATTAATTTATTATCACTATTTACATCAAAATAATTGATAACTTGTGTTTCAGAATGCATTTAAAGACATTTAAACTGGAATGTTTTAATTTGAGCTTTAACAACCCGGTAGAATCCATATTATAAATGATCAGAATTTACCGTGTGCAACACGTTGTCATTGGCAACCATTCACAGCCACTTGCATAACTGTATCGTAGTACTACCTCAGAGTTTCATTCATAAGAGTTTGCCGTGTGCAAAAACTATTAAACCATTGGTCAGGGAAAGCTTTAATTAATTATTCATGTGCCAAAGTTGAAAGTTTAAACTAAGTCTAAACAGTATTTTAGTGATAAGGCAGGGAATGCGTTGCCTTATATAAACTATATAGTCATTGCGCATGACGGGATTGGTGGAATGAGATCACAGAATGTGGAGATGCAGTCCATGTTAAAAAATGACAAACCAAGTCGTACTTTAAAAATTCATAACTTTAAAACTACAACAGCTAAAAATATGATTTTGGTGTTATAATTCTTTAAAAAATTACATCTTTTCAACTATGCCATTGGTTTATTTTTACAAAAAGTTTAAATTTTCTTATCAAAGTCCCTACACTATTGGCCACTATTAGCGGTGCTGACTCTAGCCTCTGGTATGTACGGAATATTAAACATTAAACAAGCTCAACGCTCGAAACAATCGATTAATGTATCGTGATCGTGTGAAATTCGGGAAAGAGAATTACTTTTATTTCAGATTATGATCCGGTGAGTCACAAAATCTGGCAAATTCCGAAATCCGGTATATTCCGGAATCCGGTTGTTCCGGATACATGTAAATCCGGCGGAACCGGATTTCACCGGATAGTGCAAAATCCGGCGGAACCGGATTCCGGACCGGGGTCCGGCACACCCCTAATTCTGTCTGGCGGTATTGCTGGATGGTCACTATTATTAGCTTGCAAAACTCAATAGAAAAAAAAAAGTATTTAGTTTTAATTTTATTTGTAAGGCAAGGTTTTTCACGAGATACGCCTAGACTGCTTGTATTGAGTTGTACCAAATGAGTTGTACAGTTTTTAAATGTAAGAATATCTAATTGAAAAGACTGATTTGTGTTTACTTTATGTTGCAGGGTGTAAATTCGCTTCTTCTCCTTCATATTTTCACTTTTATTGTGCCAGTAGTTAGTAGCTCATTGCTTCACTTTAAATGTATATTACACGTTTGTATGTAATTGTAACCAAACAATGAATGTAACCAAATTCTTATTACTACGTTTCAGCTACCATGTTTGGTGAATGCATGCTGAGGCCTCAGAAACAATTATTCACATCTGCATCCTCAAGGGAAGCCGTTGTGAAAGAACGGAGATCAAAGCTTCGCGAAGAGGAGGCGAAAAAAGCAGCTTTCATGTATCATTTCCTGAGCCATGACATTGAGCTTTTATAAACGAAAAAAGAAATACCTGATGAAGTGTTGATGATGTGCCATGAGGACTAGCCAGTGTTTTATAGATCTTAATGTCCCATTAGTTTCTGTAGAATGACTGGCTCCTGCATTGTTGTTCAATCAAGTGAATTAATGCCTAGATTTGTGTTGTAGAGCCTTATTTATTTACATGGCTGCAAAAAAACTAGTTACGGTTGTTGACTTCTGTTGCAGCATAAATAAACCACATATTATTTCAGTCTGCTTTCATATGAGCCATATTGGCTAAAGTAGAATTTCTTTACCTTCTTTGGCTTACAATTTTTTTTTACAAGTTTAATATCAGGTTTTTCTTGCAAGCTTGTAAACATTTTTTTACAGCACAATTTTTCTAAGTTGTTAATAAATACCTGAATCTTTATTGTTGTAGACTACAATTAACTGCAAATATTGGTCTCCAGAAATGGCCAGTTTTCCCTCTGTGTGAGTTCACCCTTTGTTATATCTGTTATATATTCATTGTATGTTCATAAATGCCACCTTAATTTGATTAATGATGATAATAATTAATTTTGTAAAAAATATTGTTGCTTTGTTGTGATAAAATTTGACTATTGGCATATGTGAAACTTAGTGTGTAAATTACCATGAGCTGTAACAAAACGATGAACAAAATGGTCACCTGAGGAGAAGACACTTTGAGGGAATATTTTTTTTATTTCAATTATTGTTTTTTTTATGATATATGAATGTAGACTTATGCCATATCTGTGTGCTTAAATGCCATGAATTGTCTAACGGTTATTGATTTATGGTTTTGTTAGACCACAGTGTAGTGGTGAGATACTACTGTTGGGAGCATGTAGGCAGTCAAATTTCATTTCCAGAGTGTTAAATCCTAGAACCTTGTCTTTGGCGTAACTGTCAGTATTAGGGCCCCTTGAGCTGTCATTACCTTTTCAAAGAGTGAAAAATTTGAAACTTTATTTATATTACATCTATGAATTATTTTTATAAATTAATTTCTTGCAAATATTACTGCATTCATGAAAAAGCTCTGTTTCCCAGCCCCCAAATATTCACCACTTTACAATAACAAGGGCGGGTTACTGTACCTGCCACAGAGGATCATTTTGGCTTCGTTGGTAATCCTTTCAAGTACCTGCTGATGCAAGTATTATTTTGAAGTCGCGGCTGGGACTTTGGTGCTAGAGGGTAACGCAGCAGCTCTCTAAACTGTGGAGCTCCAGCTGTCATTCCAGCCATCAAAGAGGCATTCCTGCTCTGAATTCACCTACCATTCGTTTCAATCACCCCCTCCCCCACCCCCGTGGTGTTGTTTTACATAGCCACATGGAGGGCTTTTTGTTTATTTCTATGCAGTTATTTATACCAGCACACCTTGGAATCAAGTTATTCTATTGATTTATGTGGGGGGGGGGGGGGGGGGGGGGAAAAAAAAAAAA